TTTTATGTTCTTTTTATCATTTTTTAGTGCTTACCTAATAAATTACATAAATTACTTTGGGAAATCTGTCTTATTTACATCAGTACTTTTATTGCTTCCCAGAAAATCAGAGGCCCTTAATCTTATCTACTGCTTTTTACTTTTGAAGCATCATGGTCATATATTTTTCATTTTGCACATGGCTATCGAACACGTCACCACCATTATCTTAAGCAAGTACTGTTCGTACCTACTTACAATGCTTTCCCATGTTCTCCATTTTTTCTTGGAATATCTTGACTTTTCAGCAGGGATTGCATTTCTTTTGCCCTCCAAAGTCACTCTAGTATATGCTTTGATGTAGCTCTTACAGTGGTAATTTTTTTCTCAGCTTTTATTTTATTCTTTGGCCTAAAAAATATCTTTATTATAATCTTCATAAAAATGTGTAATTGATGGGGCTGGAGCAATAGCACAGCGGGTAGGGAGTTTGCCTTGCATGCGGCCAACCCGGATTCAATTCCCAGCATCGCATATGGTCCCCTGAGCACCGCCAGGGGTAATTCCTGAGCGCAGAGCCAGGAGTAAACCCTGTGCATCGCTGGGTGTGACCCAAAAAGAGAAAAAAAATGTGTAATTGAAATTTAATTCTTGTGGGCTGGATTGATAGCACAGCGGGTTGGCCATTTGCCTTGCACGCGGCTGACCCGGGTTCAATTCCCAGCATCCCATATGGTCCCCTGAGCACCACCAGGAGTGATTCCTGAATGCAGAGCCAGGAGTAACCCCTGAGCATCACTGGGTGTAAAAAAATTAAAAAAATATTAATTCTCATGTAAAACTCATTCTCCTGATGCATATGGTGAAGGGAATTTCGCATATTCAGAGAGTGGGGCAGCCACTGAATGCAGAATGTTGTCATCTATCACAATAGAATCAAGACTGGAAAACAAAGAACACAACCTAGATTTAATCATTGTCACTGTCTTTTCACACCTGGTGGTGCTCAGGGATTACTCCTGGCTCTGTGTTCAGGGAGCACCTTTGGCGGTGCTGGGGGGTGGGGGGACCGAATGGGATAAGGGGATTGAACCCGGTCAGCTGCGTGCCAGGCAAACACCCTCCCCGCTGTACTATTGCTCTGGCCTTGATGTCTTTGTTTCTGACTCCGTTTCTTCCCTGTCAGCCCCCGTGTCTCAAACCTTTAAAACAGTGTCGGTCGTTTCCTGGGGCTTCCCAGAATGGGTGCAGATGCTTCTTGGACACACATGTGAGTGTCCCCTTTAGGATCACTTGGTCGGGCACTGCGTGTGGCGTGCGTGAGTTCCTCTCAGGGCTGCACTGCTGTCCCTCTGCGTTGTCTGTGGGACAACGGGGTGATTTGTGGGTGTGATGTGCCGGTTCCTCTTCACGGGGCACCTGGCACCCCACCAAACCTTTCCTCCTTTAGCTGATGGAGGCAGAGGTTGCTTCTGGGTTTTCACTGCTGAAAGCCCTCCTGCCCCAGAAACCCCGGCACACACCTGGGGTTTCCTGCCCCAGGAACCATCACACACGCGCGGGGGGGGCGGTCCTGCCCCAGAAATCCTTTGCATACGCTCCTTGCACACATACGTCAGTGTCCCTGTAGGAGTCAGGACAGCGTGAGTGAAACAGCTGGATTGGGGCCAGTCCCCTTCTCAGGCCCCTCCGACAGTGCCCACCTGTCTTCCAGCACTTCCCTTGGCCTGGGCACTTGCTGTGAGTGAGGGCTCCCCCTGCACCCGGCCTCAGTGCACAGCGCGCGCGTGCAGTCAGTTCCGTTTTAGCTGAGCCCTCCGCTGCCGTGGCGTGGCACAGAGCTTTGATTTCCATTTTGTTGCTGCCTCTGAACTCAAGCACGTGATGCTTCTTGTGGCCAAGTTCAATCTGGGCACCCACCCCTCCAACTCTTCCACTCCCTGCATCTTCCGCTTATGGTTTTGGCTTTTTGGGTCACACCCAGTGATGCTAGGGGTTCCTCCTGGCTCTGCACTCAGGGATCACTCCTGGCGGTGCTCAGGGGACCCTATGGGATGCCGGGGATTGAATGCAGGGAGGTCATTCAAGTCAACCGCCCTCCCTGCTGTCCCATTGCTTGATCCTGAGTACTGACGTGTTGACTCCCGAGGAGCCTGTGTGTGTGAGGCCGGTGCTACTCTGGAAAGCTGAGTGAGTCCTGGGCCCCCAAAACCCGGTTTTAGCCTCCAGGGCACCCCCTTTTCTGCTGAGATGGTGGGACTATTGGCCCTTGAGATTGGGACAAAACGGGTCCAGATCAATAGCAAGAGATAATAATCCCAGGGAGAGCCTTAAGAGAGGGAGTTCTAGAACATTCCACCATAGCATCAGGGATGCCACAAGAGCACCAGGCAGCTCGTCAGGGTTGAGTTTGGAGTGATGGGAGGGCGGACAGCATTAGTGGGGGTGTTGTGGTGGGCAGGGTGTGAGGGGTGGTCTGAACCAGAGCTGCAGCTCCCAGGGCATCGCCACAGCTGTGCCCGCCCACAGGGCACTGTGGTGCCATTTCAGAGATGAGAACTGGGGTTGGAGAGAGCTGCAGCCACCTGGGACCTCTGGTGCCCCATGTGCGGTCCTTGGTACTGAGCATGCCTCAGGCACTTGCTGTCCAGCTGTGGCTCTGGGCTCAGCTAGTGGAAGAGTCCAGTTGTGTATGTGTGGGCGGCATCCGGCTTGCCCAGTGCTCGGCACACGCCCCTGGGACTTGAACAGCAGGTGCCAGTTAGTGTCATCTACGCAGCTGACAAAGACGGCCTCCGCCCTGTCCCCAAGAGGTGCCTTCTGGCCAGAGTCCTAGGAAGGTGCCCAGCTCAGCTGTCCTTGGCACCCCTGCTCCGTGCACTGGAGCTTTGTGGCCAAGCGTGGGCTGGATGCCCCCCGTCGGCTGCAGGTTGAGGACCCTTCCCTAGAGGGGAAGAGACGTCGGGGACAGAAGTGCAGGGGCAGCCCCGCACCCCGGAGGCCCGCGTGGCATTTGTGTGCAGTGCCGGGGACCATGGAAGACCAGGGCTACCTCTTGGGGTGCAGAGTCCATGCATTGGCCCGGGGGCCCTAGGGCGGGGCCTCGAGGCTCTTGTGATGAAGGCAGAGCCCCTCAAGGTTCACTGGGAGGGGCTGCGTGCCTCCATGCATGTCTGCGTGGGGCTGACCCCGGTGTTGAATTAAGTGCCTTGATTTATTTATTCTGAGATCCCAAGGGACTCTCAGGAGGCCCGGGGCTGCCCTCCCCCATGATAGCTGGAAGGTCAAAGGCAGAGCCGCGGGTGGGACAGCCGATCCCCAGGACCCTCCAGGGCTGCTCCTAGCACGGCCCCGGGGACCCTGTGGCGCTGGGCATGGAAAGCCGGACCGGGTGCGGGCTGGGACGTATCCTCACTGTTGTGTCCTCATTCTGTCCCGGGGTGGGGTCTTTGTCATAGCAACGTCCCTCATTGGAAAGCGTGCTGGAGACGAAGGCACGCATGCAGGTGTCGCTGCCCTGATGAAGTCGGGGCTCTGTTCTTAAGGGGTTCATAGGTGGAAACTGTAGTCAGTGAGAACTCGGGCGCACGGTCTGCACACAAGGCCGGCATGGGGAAAGGGAGGGCTCCCGGATCCCATGATTGCCCCTAGAGCCGCCAAGCGTGAGTGGGCCCGCTACCCACCCACTGTCAGGGAGCACGACACCCCCACTGTCTGCCTTTGCCTCCTGCATTCCCCCAGGACTCCCCCAGAGAGCTCCGGAAGGCTTGAGAGGGCAGGGGACCCGCCAACACTGTTTCGTCTGCCCCCTCCTCCTCCTGTCTCCTGGGGAGCAGAGCAAGGGGTGGGGGGGTTAGCAGGAAGGGCTCAGAGTGGCCAGAGCAGCCCGTCCTCTGGGCACCAGGTTCAGCGGCAGCTCAGCTGGGAGAGGCTCCCGGGTCTGGGACCTTACAGGCTGCAGAGTTAGATTTTTGTTAAAGCCCCTTGATTTGTCAAATCCTTCATCACTGCATAGAATAGAGTGCTCTGGCCCTGAGCCCACCACCCACCGGTGTCAGCTGCCCTGCCCCTGCGTCCCCAGGGTCCCTTTCAGGGCCCCTCAGGCCGGCCCATCCCGGCGGCAGGCACAGCTTTGGGTTTGGTTGTAGTCTGGTCCCGGGTTTCAGAGCTGTTGGTTTTGTGGTTTGGAGTTGTATCGGCGCCGCCCACCTGCCCGCAGCCCTCGTGCCCCGCGACTTCCCGTCTGCCCCGGCTGGCTTCCTCTCCGCGCGGCCTGTCCCCCTCTGTCCCGCTTCCCGCGGGCTCCCAGGTCACGGGGGTTTCGGCAGCCCCAAGCTGCGTGCGCTCCCCGCACCCGTGTCTGCCCTCCAGCCCTGGCCTCAACGGTGCCCCAGCAGTCCCCAGCCCACACTTGGTCTCAAGGACAAAACTCCAGTCCCTGATGCAGCTGGGGCGGGGGCGGGGGGGCAGTCCCAGCCTCCCCTGGACGGGGATTTAGGGGCCAAGAGGTGAGGGAGGTGGGGTGGGGGGAGGGTCACCATAGATTTATGATTTTCAGATCACACCCTGCTGCGCTCGGGCTTCCTCCCACCAGTGCCCAGGGGACCGTGTGGTGTCCGGGATTGAACCCGGGCGGGGCCACTTGTCTACCTGGTGGTTTCTAAGGGGGCAGGACTCCTTGGGCCTCCAGGACCTCCTGCTTCATTGGGGTTTGTCTGGACACTGACCGCAGGCTCTGAGGACAGTGTCTAGGGGAGGGGGCATGAACAGGCTGATGGGGAAAGGGAGTGTGCGGGGTGAGTGGAATATGTGGGTTGAGCGAGGTGAGGGGGTGGATAGGGTGATGGGGTGGATGTGGGGAGGGGGTGGGTGGAGTGGAATGAGTGGGTGGGTGGGGTGAGGGGGTGGGCAGGGTGACGGGGTGAGTGGAGTGGAACGAGGGAGTGGGCGGGGTGATGGGGGGAGGGGAGGCCGCCCAAATCCCGTGCCCAGCCCACCACCTCTCTGTGTGCCTCTTCCAGGGCCCTGGAGGCAGCATGCGTCCTGGCTGGGGTGTCCTTCTGCTCCTGCTGACCCTCCAAGCTGGTGAGTGGTGCCCCGGCTGGCTGGACAGTGTCTCCACATTGGCCAAGAGGCCACGGGCTTGGGATCTGTGTGTCCCCTGGCGGCCACACCTGGGTGCACCTCCCCAGGAATTGACTCTCTCCAGCAGACAGTGCCTCTGGGAAAGGGGGCACGTGGGGGCACACGGGGTCTCACGGGGTCTTACATGTCCTGGCTCTGTGTGTCTGGGGGCCAGGCAGGGGCCTGCTGGGAGTCAGCAAGACAGACCGTGCCGCGGGCTCTTGCCCAAATCAGGTTCTTTTCTTCCCTGTGGTCGTCAACTGCCCCCACAGGCCCTGACCTTCTCCTGAGGGTCGTCTCCTCCTGGACATCTCGGATCCCCCGGGGGTGGCCCTGAGGATTGTGCAGACGGGGATCTCAGGCCAGGGCTAAGAGAGGAGATCCACCCGTAGTGTCCACCGGGGAGGTCCATCCTCAGTGCACACCTGGGAGGTCCACCCACAGTGTCCACCTGGGCGGTCCATTGCAATGTCTGCCCAGGAGCAGAGGGGACGCCCTGGTAGTCCCTCCCCCACTGTGCTATGGCGGGCATGATGGGCAGAGTCACTTCCGCTTTCCCGGGTGAGGGTCTCAACTGCTCCTGGAGGGAGGGGCACCCTGGCGATTCTGGGATCCTCTTGCTTCATTTTCAGCATCCGACTAGACAGAGGCCCAGGGAGGAACACCCCCCCCCCACCCTGCCGCTCCACTCCCCCGGGTTTCCTTAGTCAAAGAAAAATAGGGAAAAGCCACTGAAAATGAATCCTCTTAAAAAGGGGAACGGGTTTCTGGTAAACTGTGTGCGTGGGGGGGGAGGGGTGTGAAACAGCCGCTTCAGCCCTTGCTCTCAGAGAACACAGCAAAAGCCCATTGGATGCGTTATCTCAAACATGAGCCACACTGTGGATTCCAACTGCACCGCTATTTTTAAAATAATGATTTGGGGTGCACGGATATTAAACCCTTTACTTAGCCAGAGACCAAATTACTTAAAATGATGATTTAAAATGGGGAATTTTGAAAAGGGCGTTAAACCTTCCACCTAGCCAGAGGCCAGATGTTTCAAAAATGATTGGGATTGCAGGAGTATTAAACCTTCCACCTAGGGGCCTGAACGATAGCACAGCGGGGAGGGAGTTTGCCTTGTATGACGGCCAATCCGGGTTCGATTCCCAGCATCCCATATGGTCCCCCGAGCACCACCAGGAGTGATTCCTGAGTTCAGAGCCAGGAGTAACTCCTGTGCATTGCCGGGTGTGATCCAAAAAGCGAAATAAAAATAAAATAAAATAAAAAGCTCAGTAAACCTTCCACCTAGTACAGGTGATAAGGGGCTTCCCTTGCCTGCGCTAACCCGGGTTCAGTCCCCAGCACTGCCCGGAGTGACTCCGGAGCACAGATCCAGGAGGAAACCTGAACAATGGAGTGTGTGGCCGACTTAGAAAAATAAAATCCTTCTGCCAAGATTTCCAGGAGGGAGGTTCTGAGCAGGCTTGTACACATCCAGCCTGAGGGCAAAGGGCGTGCTCTGTCAGGGCAGTTGAGTCCAGCCAGGGGTGTCCCCTCAGGGCTCTGGCTGTCCCCGGGGTGGGCTCCCTGGCACCTGGAGTTTGGGGCTGCCAGCCTGAGAGAAGGCGGGCCAGATGGGCTGGGGCTGGTGCCAGGCCGCTGGGAGGGCGCAGGGCTGGGACAGTGTGGTGAATCTGCTTCCCGTTCACAGCGCCCTGCGTCCTTGGCAGCCTTCAAACCCAGGACATGGACTCTTCAGGTATACAATGGTCCCCCTCCCCCCCCCCCAGGTTCCCCCATTTTATCCTGGTCCTGCAACCCCCAGGCAGCCCCCCACCAATGCCTGTGTCTCTCCTGACCCTGCAGGCTGGGGGTGCCCCAACCCTGACTGCTACACGGATTACCTCCAGACGGTCACCTGCCTCCTGGAAACGGGTCCCACCCGCCCAGGCATGCTCACGCTCACCTGGTAAGTGGAAAGACTCCCAGGGGAGCACCTAAAGGTTGTCATGGGCCAGCCGGTTCCTGAGTCCACTCAGCAATTGCACCTGATGTTTTTGGCCTCACGGAGGACTCCTGGGGCCACTGCCTGCCACATGACCAATAGTGTCACATGACCAGGCTCCCAGGACTCCTGCAGGGCAGCTCTGTCCTCCTCCAGGACTTGACTGTGGTTCTGAGACCCCAGAGTGGACCGCCCCCTCCACCCCCACCTGTGTTGGAACCCTGAGCATAGGCCAGCAACCTGCACAAAACAATCATTTCTGTGCTCACTTAATGCCCCTCACTCACCAGTGAGGACATTTAGGCCTCGATCTCACAACCAGTTGGTATAGCTGGGATTCAATCACACAGTCCGTCCCCAGGGTTCATAGGTCCCTGTTAGTCCTTGTTGTTGATCAAATAACCATCCCACTCTTGGCAGAGAATGGGAAGGCTGCCTTTATTCGATACCATCCCAGGGGGTAGATGAGCACTGCATGGGGGCTTGCAGGAAGGGAGAGAAGATGGGACTCGATTACCAGGAAAACTGGAGATTTACAGCCAAGGGGCCCGGTGGGTCAGATGGGAGGTGACTGAAGGAAAACCTCGGGGGTAGGAGCACTTTTGGCTGAGAGCACTGATCCAGCAGCAGCCCAGAGGGGGTGTGGTAGGCAGGAAGGGGAAAGAAACGCATCAGATACCAAGGGTGACTGGATAAGAGGATGAAAGTTTCAGGATAAACTGATTTCACAGTGGTCTTGGTAGAACCAGATGATGCCGAGATGCACAAAGAAGCCCAAAAGTCAGGGTTAGAGGAGGGGGAAGTTCAGTAGCTTTGCCAGGGAGTCAAGCACTGTCACTACACTGAGAGAAACCAGCAACCTGCCCTGTGATCATCTATTCAGCAGTTCTTCCATTTGTCCATCCTTCCATCCATCTGTCCATCCATCCACTCATGCATCCATCCATCTGTCCATCCATCTATCCATCTATCTATCCATCCATTCATCCATCAGTCCACACATCCATATTGGGCCATCCATTCATCCATCCATCTGTCCATTCATCCATTTATCCATTCATCCTTCTATCCTTCTATCTATCCATCCATCCATCATTTATCCATCTCCATCCATCATTCCATTCATCCATCTATCATCCAACCATCCATCCATCCATCCATCCATTTATCCATCTACCAGTCCACACATCCATATTGAACTATCCATCCATCCATCTGTCCATCAATCCACCCATCCACCCTTCCATCTGTTTATTCATTCGCCCATACATCCATTCATCCATCCATACATACATACATACATCCATTCATCCATCCACTCATCTGTCCGTCCATCCATCCATCCATCCATCCATCCATCCACCCATCTGTCAATCCATCCATCCATCCATCCATCCATCCAATTGCTCATTTATCAGTTTGCCCATAAATTCATCCATCCATCCATCCATCCACCCACCCATCTGTCAATCCATCCATCCATCCATCCACCCACCCATCTGTCAATCCATCCATCCATCCATCCACCCACCCATCTGTCAATCCATCCATCCATCCATCCATCCATCCATCCATCCATCACCTGTTGATCCATCCGATCATTTATATCTCCATTCAGTCGTTCAGAACTCAGAGTTAAGCTCCCACAGACAGGGAGTTAAGTCCATCCGAGTTTCATGATGCCTCAAATATCCTGGCACCATGGATTGCCATGGGAAGTGTTCCAGAGGCAGATAAGCATGTGGGCTGCCCTTGGGGTACTATCTAATGACAGCGCGCCCCATGGAACACACGAGAAAGGCCCATCTGCGCTGGTGTCTCTGGACACAGCGGCCCCTGCCTGGAGTCCCTCTGTGAGCTGAGGCCTGAGTGGGAGCTGCAGGAATCGTGAGGTCCCGGGAGCCTGCAGGAGAGAAAAACTAGCCAAGAAGGCAAGACTGAGGGGCCAGACTTCATCTTCTGGCTGGGAGGTAGCCATGGAAGACGTGACTGGCAGTGTCAAAAGAAAAAAAATGGGCCCACACATCCCCACTGGGCCTTATGGGCGACATTTTCTTTCTTTCTTTCTTTCTTTCTTTCTTTCTTTCTTTCTTTCTTTCTTCCTTTCTTCCTCTTTCTTTCTTTTTCTTTCTTTTTTTTTCTTTTTGGGTTACACCGGGCGATGCACAGGGGTTACTCCTGGTTCTGCACTCAGGAATCACTCCTGGCAGTGCTCAGGGGACCCTATGGGATGCTGGGAATCGAACCCGGGTTGGCCGTGTGCAAGGCAAACACCCTACCCGCTGTGCTATCTCTCTGGCCCTGGGTGACATTTTCTGAGCTTAAAGATGTAGGAAAAGGCTGATAACCCCTGGGCATGCTTCCCAAATCCGCCATTTCTGTCCAGGGGGACTTAAGAAGGGAGAGGAGGCACTGGAGTGATAGCACAGCGGGTAGCTCCTTTGCCTTGCACGTGACTGCTCTGGTTCCATCCCCAGCACCCCTGGGCATCTCTGGAATTGCCCAGAGCAGGGCACAGGGCGCTTCTGGCTCTCAGTCCACAGCAGGACAGTAGCAGATGCTGACAGAAGCGCGTGTGGGAAGGAGTCTTGGGCGTAGCTTTCCCTCTTCCTGTGGGATGCAGAGGGGAGGGAGAGTGTGGTAGGAAGGGTTGAGGCTGGGTGCGGGCAGGGACCCACATTTCTAAAGCTGGGAGCTGTGGCCCTGGAGGCCGTGAGCGCCCCCCTCCTTGGGGGTGTGTCAGGGCAGGGATATTCAGGGCTGGGCTGGCCAGTGGCCCCCAGCCCCAGCGAGCGCCCTGACTGCTCTGTCTTGAAGGGAAGACCCGGATGGAGAACTGGAGGATGAGGTCACCTCCTGCCACCTCCGGGGCACCGCCTACAATGCCACGCACACCCAGTACATGTGCCACATGGACGTGTTCCGCTTCATGCCCGACGACTTCTTCAGCGTCACTGCGACGGGCCCCTGGGACTCGTGCAAGAGGGACAGCTTCATGCTGGCCGAGAGAAGTAAGTTCCGGAGCCCGGGTTCCAGACACCCAGCCAGTCTCGGGGTGTGGGAACAGGCACCCCGTGCTGAGAGGCTGCGGGCGGGGGGGGTGGTGGTGGTGCAGGGGCCACCGCTGGGTGGACCTTGGATGGGCTCCCCCAGGATTCTGTCCCAGACGAGGCCCCTCTCTCTCTCTGCCCCCCAACTCGGCTCTACTGGAGCCAGAACCGCTGGTAGGGGCGGGTCTGCGGGTCCAGAACCCCCCAGGGTGGTCTGGCCAGCGGCTCATTTGGTCTTTCTGGCTCTTTCCTTCAAGTCCAGCCTCCCGCCCCTGTCAACGTGAGCGTGGCCTTCTCCGGCAGCTACAACGTGTCCTGGAGCTGCACCTACGACTCGGCGCCCGGGCCCACCCCGCTCAGGGACCGGCTGCAGTTTGAGCTGCTGTACTGCATCCAGGGGAACCTGGGGGTAGGCTCAGAGACCCACCTGAGAGCCAGAGAGGTGGGGGGAGGGGAGGAAGGAGCAGGCGGGTGTGTGTGCGTGGTGAGGACGGGCCAGGTCAGGACTGGCTGCAAGGACGCCCCCTCTGCCTGTTTCTCCTGGGCTTGGAACCCCCTTTCACCCCTGGCCCACCCGGTGACTCCCCGTGTGACGAGGAGGGGAACCCTCTAGGACAGCGCCAGAGAGCCCGCCCAGAATGGGGGCGGTCTGCAGCCCGCCCGCGGCTCAGGGGAGCCTGAGCAAAATTGTTCTAAAAGCATCCAGAACCAAGCAAGGGCAGCAAGCCGGGGGTGGGGGTTGGCGGGTTTCCTTTGTCCAGATGTCTTCCAGAGGGGTCTTTTGTTCAGAGTGCTGGTGCATTCCAGAATGTTCCTCCCCAGAGAAGGGTGACCCCCCTCTCTCCCCCCCAGGTCTCAGTGTGGTCCCTGTTTCCGCAGGGGCTTCCAGAACTGCTTTGGGCTACCTGGGTGGCAAGGGGCTCACAGGCAGGGGGGTGCTGCTTCCCGGGGAGCCTCACTGGGTGCCCCCCTTGCCTCGTGGCAGGAGCCCAGGAGGAAGCTGGTGTCCGTGAGCGCCAGGAGCGTCTCCCTCCTGCCCCTGGAGTTCCGCCCAGGCGCCAGCTACGTGCTGTGGGTGCGGGCAGGGCCCCTGCCCGGCTCGTTGTTTGCCGGGACCTGGAGCGAGTGGAGCGAGCCTGCCACCTTCCACACCCCGCCCGCAGGTGGGTGCGGTGGCCCCCCACCCTCTCCTGCAGACACTGGGACCCATGCTGCAGATGAGAAAACTGAACTGGGGGATGAGGATGTCTCCTGCTGGGGGTGGCCCGGGGAGCCAGGTCTCTCCGGCCCCCTCTTGCGCTCACCCTGGGCCCCTCCCCGCGTCTGCAGGGGCGTCCGGCCTGCAGGGGGATTTGCGCATGTGCCTGGTCCTACTCATCCTCGTGCCCGTCCTGGTCTTCTTGGGCCTGAAGTTCTTCCAGCCAGGGAGGTAAGGCCGGGGCGTGAGGTGGGAGGGGTCCGCCGGGTCGTCAGGAGGGTTACGGTCCCGCTCGGCCGGGTGCCCCTTCGCCCGCACAGCGGCCCTCCCCCGTGAGCCCGAGAGTGTCTGTCACTTGGCAAAGAGGGACCCCGAGGCCCAGAGGCCTGTCTGTCCAGAGGGCAGGTCCGGAGTGATGAGGGGACATGTGTGTCCCATACTCACACCTGGGCCCGTGGATTTTGTTCAGGTCCTTCCGGGCACAAGGGGCCCCCAGGTGAGGGGACAGAGCCCCCTTCTGCTCCAACCAAAGGGGGGCCCTCTGCAGCTGCGGGGCCGTACCAGTGGCGGGCGCTGGTGGGGGGAGACTGTGGGTCATCTAGTTCATTTCTCTGCAGACGCCAGATGAGACAGGGTGGAGGGGTGTCTCACATTGCAGGGTGGGGGCGCCGGGCCCCCATGACAGGAAATGGGGCTCAGAGGCAGCCTGGCCCTGATTCTGCACCTCCCAGGCCGCCTGCCCCCTCGCCCAAGTTTGCAGGTCTGGAAACTGAGGCTGGGAGAAGGGAGCTTCCTGGGGTGTGTGGCGAGCTGGGCTGGGTACACACTCACTGCTCACCCCTCTCCGGAGCAGGCTGACCAAGGCTGTGCCCAGCCCCGAGCACTTCTTTCTGTCCCTGTACAAGGCCCACGGCGGGGACTTCAAGGTGAGTGTCTCTCTGGGAGTGACCCCTCCCCTGTACCTCCAGCCTGTGGTCTGCAGAAGAAGGAGGAGGGGGGTTGCTGTCCAGGCTGGCCCTTCCTTAGAGGCTCTTGATGAGGGTGGGGGCGCTGGCCTTGCCTGCAAACAAGCCCCATTAAGGCACCCCGCCCGCCCCCGCCCACGCCCAGAGGGGTTCTGGTGCCTGTTTCCTGGGTGAGCGGATGTGGGGAGGGGAGGGTGGCACCTGGTCCCCTGAGCCCAGAAAACATGCCGGCTCCCCTGCTCCTGGGCTGCAGCCAGGAGGCGCCTTGATGGGTCACTCCCGAGGGGGCAGGACCACCCAGGACCCTGGCGCAGGTCAGGGCATGTCCCTCTGTGCTCTGGTCCTCACGCCCGTCCCCGTAGCCTGGGGCAGGGTGATGCCTGGGGTGGGGAGAGGCGGGGGGGTGCCTGGGACCAAAGTGTCTGGGTCCGAGCTGGACCCTGGGGGGAGGGAGACCAGCACCCTCCCAGATGTGGACGGCACCCTGAGGCTGAGATTCAGCTGCTTGTTCCAGGCGGGTGGCTGCATGACCCCCGAGGCAATGGGTTCAGGGTTTATGGCCCCCGAAGCTGGGCTCTCTCTGACCCTAAGTGTCTCCTGGCACCACTAGGAGGGGGAGAGAGAAAGGAGAGAACAAGAGAGAGGAAGAAAGGAAGGAGGGAAGGAGGAAAGGAAAGATGGAAGGAAGGAGGGGAGGGAGGGAGGGAGAAAAAGAAGGGAGGGTGGGAGGAATAAGCCCTTAAGGAAGGAAGGAAGGAAGGAAGGAAGGAAGGAAGGAAGGAAGGAAGGAAGGAAGGAAGGAAGGAAGGAAGGAAGGAAGGAAGGAATCAGGGCAGGCAGGCAGGCAGAGTGCTAGTACAGGGGTTTAGGTCTTGCCTTGTGCGTGGCCAATCCCAGTAGGGTCCTCAGAACCCCACATGGTCCCCCAGGCTACCCCCAGAGTGACCCCTGAGTGTGAGCCATGGATAAGCCCTGAGCCCTGTGGGGTGTGGCCCCCTCAAAGACAGGGGGTGGGGGGTCCCGGATGCCCCGGGCGCCTCTCGGCCACCCACTGTCTCTGGAGGGTTTATCCGGGTCTGGGATATCGGGGATAGGGAGGGTTTATCCCCGCCTGACCCCCTCCCTCCTCCCCTCCCCCAGAAGTGGGTGGGCACCCCCTTCACTGCGTCCAGCCTGGAGCTGGGCCCCTGGAGCCAGGGGACGCCGTCGTCGCGGCTGGAGCCCTGCAGCAGCGGCCCGGGGTCCGGCAAGGGCGCAGAGGCGGCGCAGCTGACCCCCGAGCCCCAGGAGACGGACGCGGCGCCCGCGGCCGCCCACAGCCCCGAGCGCGACCGGCCCTACGGCCTGGTGTCCATCGACACGGTGACCGTGGTGGACGCCGAGGGGCCCTGGGCCTGCGCGTGCGCGGAGGACGGCTACCCCGCGCTGAGCCTGGACCCGGACCCCGCGGGCCGGCTGCGGCTGGACCCCACCGTGCTGGCCTGCGGCTGCGTGTCGGACGAGCCCCCCGCCCGGCCCGGGGACGCGCTGGACAGCCTCCTGGGAGCCGGGGCGGGCGGCGAGCCGGGCTCCCCGCCGGCCAGCCTGGACATGGACACCTTCGACAGCGGCTTCGCGGGCTCCGACTGCGGCAGCCCCGTGGACGAGCCCCCGGCCGAGGGGGCCCCCCGCAGCTACCTGCGCCAGTGGGTGCTCCTGGGCCCCGCGGCCGGCGAGTGAGGGGCTGGGGCCGGGGTCCAGGGCGCGGGGTCCGCGGTGGGCTCACATCGCGTGGCCCCGGGGGTCCTGGCGGGACGCTGCAGGGCCGGGAACCCGCGACCACCACCCTCCGTCGCCCCTTTCACGGGGTGGGGCTGCGCGCGGGACCCTCCTGGGAAGACTGGGGGTCCCGGATCACAGCGGTGCTTCCTGGATGCAGCCCCCCTCCGCTCGCCCCCACCACACACCAGGGCCAGCATCTCCCCAGGGCCCTGCGGGGACAGGGGGTGCCTGACCTCGCTTGGGACAGACCGCCGGGGACCCCCTAAGTGTGCAGCCCAGGGAGACCTCAATAAAGTTTCCTTCCTCCGTGGAGTGGAGCCGGGGATAAGGCTGGTGTTGGTGGGGGCAGGGACAGGGTGGGAGTGGGGGGGCACCAGCCCAAGTGGAGGGGGGAGGGGAGGGTGACCGAGAATCGCGGTCCCCTGCCCCACCACGCACCCGGCTTCTCTTCACACCTTCTAGGATCTGAGGAAGGTTTCTTGGTGCAGGTTTGGGCCAGGCAGGGGTCAGGGGCCAGGGGCTGGGCACAGGGAACCCGCAGGCCCCGCCCCTGCCATCCGGCTGGCACCCAGTGTGTGAACACACAAAAAAGGATGGGCAAACCTAAGCTCCGTGTACCCCAACACCCCGGGACGGTGGACGTCAGTGTGTGTGTGTGTGTGTGTGTGTGTGTGTGTGTGTGTGTGTGTTTGCGTGTGGGGGAGGGGTCAGAGTCGCCTCATGGGCAGCTGTGGAGCCCACTCCCCCTGATGCAGCCAGGGCCACCCCTGAGCTTAAAAACTTCCCTTGCGGGTTCCAGGGGGCAGGAAGGTGGGGGGGGGGCCCAGCTGGGCGTGAGGGGACCCCACCCAGCGGAGGCAGGGCCCGAGGGACACCCTCCAGCCAGTCAGACCCCGAGGCTGCAGCGGTGGGGGATAGGTGTGGTGAGAGGGAGCAGGAGGCGGGTGGGGAGGGGGACCTGGGCTGGAAGGTTCTAGAACATGGACCCCAGCGGAAGTGAAGTGGGGCTGTCACCTGTGAGCCGGTGTGAAACCGCAGCTCCCACGACGCTCGTGTGTGCAGCCCTGCCGCTCCCACACCTGGTTGGTGCGGTTTGCACACCCGCCCGAGGTCTGGGGCAGCAGCTGAGCTCCTGGAGGGCTGCGGGGGGGGGGGGGGTTAGCTGAGGGGACGGGGTGGGGGGGGTGAGGGGGGAGCACAGATCAGGGCCCGGGCTGGCCACGACCCTCTGCACCCTATCTTTGAAGGGGCCGCGGGTGCTGATGGAGACCAAGGGCTGACCCAGGAGGCTGGTTCCAGGGAAGAGGGTGCCGGCTGGGTCCAGTGCCGGGCGGGGGCCTCAGAAAGGGGTGCGGGGGGCTTCAGACATGCTGGGGGCTGTAGAACAGCAGTCTGGCTTACTGCTTGCTCTGCTCCTGGCCTCAGCAAAGCTGGCTCAGTGTTCGCTGGTTCGCCCCTGCCCTCTCCTCCTCCACAGCCCAGGCCGAGGACTTGGCCAGAGATGCTCACGGTCCATTCTCCGGCAGGGCTGATGGGAGCCTGGGTCTCCAGAGGGCCGAGGGGGGTCTTCAAGGACAAGGGGGTGATACGGAGTGCTGTTTTCAGCATCAGGCACAAAGGACATGAGAAAAGGTCTGGAGGTATGACCAATCCCGGAGCACTGGAGTGTGATCTAGCACGGAGTACTGGAGTATGAGTATGACGTAGCACTGAGCACTGAAGTGTGACTTAGCACTGAGCACCAGAGTGTGGCTGATCACTGAGCACTGAAGTACAACCTAGCACTGACACTGGGGTATGACTTAGCACTGACACTGGGATCTGACCTAGCACTGAGCACTGAGCACCAAAGTGTGACCTAGCCCTGAGCACTGGGGTATGACCTAGCACTGGAGTATCACCTAGCTCTGAACCCCAGTGGTATGGCTTAGCCCTGAATGCTGGTGTCCCAGCACAGAGCACTGGAGTTATCATCGAGCACTGAACACCGAGTCCCCTGGTCAGCGCCCCTGAAGGACGCAGCCCTTGTCTGTCCAGCTCCCAAGCAGGGTGCTGCAGTGGTCGGTGGGGCCCAGGGCAGCTCACGACACCTGATGCCCACTGCAGTTTCTTCTCTCTGCGATGGGGCCCAGTGCTGCCCGGGGGTCCCAGACCTGCTCAGGGAGGAGGGAGAGTGAGTATCAGACCCCAGGAACGGAAGCTGGGTGGTGACTTGCCCAGCCCCTCACTTCGTCTGTCACTGTTGTTCCTTCCTCCCAAGCCCAGCAGTTCCCTACCCCGGTCTTGTTTCCCCCAGACTTCACCCACCCCGCTGTCCCACCCACGTGATTAGGGGTCCCGACTGGGCTCTATTCACACTGGGCCTTGGAGCCGGTGCAGAGGGGCCAGAGCAGAACCACAACTGAATGAATGAATGAATGAATGAGTGAGTGAACATTGGGGGTGCTGGGTGGTGACTGCCGGGTAGTGGGTGGAGCCCAGGAAGCGCCATCTGCTGCCCTGGAAACTCCAGAGCGAAAGATGAAACTCTGAGACCCGCAGCTGAAGCTGGGGGCTCCCCCCCGGAAGCCCGATACCCCGACTCTCATCCCCGGGGGGCTGCTGTGAAGTTCCCCAGTCTGAGGACAGCTTTAAAGATTAATGCATGTGGGGCAGGGGAGGAGGGAGAGAGGGCCAGGGGCCTGGGGCTTCTGCTTCTGGCTTTAGTTTGGGGGTCACTCCGGGTGCTCAGGGCTTCCTCCCAGCAGGACTCGGGGCCGGGGGGCAGGGCGCATGCCGACCTGGGGTTGGCTTGGGGCAGTCATGTTCAAGGCCAGTGCCTGAGCCCCTGATCTCTCTCTCTCTGGCCTCGAGGCCCAGGTTTCATTCTTAGCCTGGCTTGGTTCCCCCGAGCACTGCAGGGATGAGCCCCCTGAGCACCGTGGGGTGTGGCACCCCGAGCCAAAATAGAGAGACTTGGATTCGGTGATGCCTGGGGCTGGGGGGTCCTTTCTCAGCACCAGGCTGGCGCCCCACCCCAGAGATGGCCCCTCTCCTCTAAGTGGGGTCTAAGGCTTTGGGGGCGCAGGAGGCCAGCCTGGTGGGGACGTAGCTCTGCGGCTTGGACAGGCTTCTCAGGGTGACACTTCCGGAGGCACCTGAGGTCCTGAGAACCTGGGCAGTGTTTCCATGCTCACCGATGGACATTGGGAACGAGGAGACCCCCCCCACCCCCCAGGACCAGCAGAAAATCATACCACTGGGAGGCTGGTGCCACCTGCTGGTGGTCGCTGGAACTGGGTGGTGGCAGCCCAAGGAGGGGTTCATGGGCTCATGGGGGAGGGGGGTTGGGGGGGTACCCTCAGGGTGGTCAGTGACCCCTGCGGGGGGAATGCGATGAGGAGGTTCCGGGTGGACTGAAGTTCCTATGCTTTATCCCAGGGCCAGAGCTGCTCCTGTGACCTGCTCCAGGATCTGGACTGGGCAAGCACCTGGCTGGGCAGGGCGGGCACTGGGCAGGGGGGTCTATACACATGCAGGTTCCCAGGGACACACTCACCCCACCCCGGGAGTCCGGAGGGCTGAGCCTGGAGTCTGGGGAGGGTCATACTTGAGTCACCTGGGTCTGGCCCCCTCCAGCACCCCCACATCTGCTTGGTGGCCAGGATGCAGAGCCTCCCACTGACCGTGGTCAGTCACCCACCCCTCACAATCTCCTGGCCAGGACCCCGCTGCCCACTTTGGTATGTGGGAACACCAATCTCGGCAGCTCCACAGCTGAAAGCCACTCCCACAGCACAACCAAGAAACACGCATGGGACCGAGACACACAGGGCCTAGGGCACTGGCTCTGCGCAGCCGACCCCAGCTTGCTCCCTCCCGGGCACCTGCTAAGGGCCCCCAAGGGCTGCCAGGAGTGATCCCTGAGCACAGGGCCAGGAGGAAGCCCTGCGCAGTGCCCCCAACCCAATCCAGCGCACAGAAACACAAACACACTAACTACATTTTACTTCACTTTAATTAAAAAAACAAAATAAATACACACCAGGCAAATTTTTTGATGAGCAAAAAGATCGAAATAAGAAAACCAAGCCCCAACACAGACACCAGTTTCCGGACAGTGGGTGGCAGAAGGGTGGACACCAGCCGGCCAGAGGCCCACGACTCCTCGTGTGTGTGTGGGGGGGGGGGAGGGGGGGCGTTGGGGGGGTGGGCTGGGGGGGCTCAGTCCCAGCCTCAGGATCCAACGTCTCTGCTGGGCCCCAGGGAGGCCGGGACGCTTCCAGTCCTTCCCGGAGGCTGCGTGGGTGGCTGTCCCCGAAGGCGGGCGGGGCGGGGGTGGGGCCGGGGCAGGGGTGTGTGTGTGTGTGTGTGTGTGTGTGTGTGTGTGTGTTGGGGGGGGGGGGCGGGGGTCTCTCCAGCCCCGAGCCGGCCCCAGAAGGCGGCCCGCGGCGGGGGCGGACGCACAGCACCTGGTTGCCTGGTGGGGGCGCCCCCGGGCCGGGCCGCAGCACCTCACAAGTGGACCCACTTGTTCCAGTTGACGTCGGCGGGGAAGACGCGGCCCAGGCGGAAGGTGCAGTCCAGCGTGGGCTCGTAGAACACCAGCGGGTCGGCGCCTGGCCCGGGCGGCGCCTCGGGCCCCGCGAAGGCGGGCGCGGAGAAGAGCGAGGCGGCCGCGGGCCTGCGCAGGCGCCGCTTCTTGACGCAGCCCAGGGACTCCAGGCCCTGCGGACGGGACGGCGGCGGTCAGTGCGGGGGGCCGCGGGGGGCGGGGGGGGCGGGGGGGGGCGGGCCGGCGCCCACGCACCTGCAGCAGCTCGAGCACGGCCACGGGCTGCAGGACGCCCTCGTAGTGCTGCAGCAGGCAGGCCTCGGGCAGGCCGGGCCGCGCCATGACGTGGTAGAGCACGGCCTCCATCATGCCCTTGCACACGGCCGTGTTCAGCTGCCCGTCCACCGTGCGCCACGGGCGGCCCAGGAAGCACACGCGCGCCAGGTCCCTAAGGGCGGGCGGTCAGCGGTCAGGCGGGCTCGGGCCCCGCCGCCGCCACCCCGCCCGGGCCGGCGCCCTCCCCGCGGACCCGCTGCCCGCTGCCCGCTCCCCGGGGACAGGCACCCGCAGTGCCCGCTGGCACCGCGGTCCGACCCCGTCCGTCCGGCCTCCCACCCCCGCTCTGCCCCCGCCCGGACCCCCCACTGACCTCTCCCGGGACAGATGCGACAGGCTGGCGGCCACGAAACTGTCAGTCGGACCTGAGGGCAGAGGGGAGGGGTGAGGGCGGAGGGCGGGGGGCGGGGCCCCTCCCCCTCTGGGAAGCTCCGGGCTCGGTACCTCTGTGCTCGTCCGGGCCCCCCGGGAGCTCGGCCGGACAGCTGTGCTGCTCGCAGGCCGGAGCCCCCGCGTCCTCTGGGCCGTCCCGCCCGGCGTCCTGGGGCGGCCCCCCGGCCCCCGTCTCTGCCGGGGCCCCAGGGGGCGCCGGGGTCTCCGCGCTCCCGGGGAGGGCCCAGTGCTCGTCCTGCAGCGCGGGCCGCTTGGCACGGGGCTCCTGGGGGCTGCCAGGGTCGGGGCTGGGCCCCCGCTTGGCGCCCGGGCGGCCCTGGGGCCCGGCCTCAGGGGGCTCCCTGCGTGCGTCCGCGTCCTCCGGGGCCCTGAGCCGCGCCGAGTGCAGGAGCCAGGGCTGGGCGTGCGCCCTGGCCACCAGGCGGGCCGTGTTGCCGCCCACCTCCAGCACCTGGTGCTGCTCCAGCAGGGCCTGGGGAGAGCGGGACCGGCTGCATGAGCCCAGCCTGGGCGGCCGGGCTGTCCAAGGCCAGTCCCCACCCTCCCCCTCCCGGCGGGCACCCCACTCACCCCTCACGCTCACCTGCGTGTAGTCGGCCAAGGTGCGCGTACGCGCGCCCTCCACCCGCTCTAGGGCCGAGAACCGTCTGCGCAGCTCCCCTCGGTCCACCCCGAAGCAGCCCGTGGCCTCCACGGCCTCCAGGACCTCCAGGGTGGCGGCCACGTCCCCGCGGCTGTACCCGCTCTCTGCCACGCGGCGCAAGAACTCCTCCTGGCTGCAGGCGGCCTGGCTGGGCACCAGGCTGGTGAAGGAGGCCGGCAGGCAGGAGGTGCCCACGGGGAGCGTGTCCAGGGGGGTGGCTGCGGAGAGGAGGCCACAGTGAGCCCCGGGACCCCCTCCAGGCTCAGCCTAGGCCCAACCCTGCTGGGGACGCGTCTCTGCTCCTGGGGCGCCTGCTCTCCTGGGGAACCTGAGCCCTCCAGGCCTGCCCTGTTGCCCCCACGCCCGCCCTCCGCCCCCACTGCTGTTCCCGGCACCCGGCAAGCCCAGAGGTCCGGTGACACAGACAGCAACTCCTAGGGGCCAGTGAAGCATGGGGTGGGTGGGCTTGGGGGCGCGCCTGGCATCTGAGCTCCTCGGAGGGAGGGAAGCAGCGAGGAGGGCCCCCGGGAAACGGGCCAGACCCGGACACTGCTGACCTGACACACTTCCCACGCGGGAGCCAAAGGTGCAGGGGAGACGCTTCGGGGGGGGGGTGCGGGGGCTGAGCCACGAGGGGCCTGGCTGGCTGGGCCCGGGCCGCCCCGGCCAATGCCCGAGTTGGAACCCGGAGTGGGTCCGACTGTGGGGACACATGCCCCTCCTCCAGCCGGACATGTCCCCCCACCCCGGCCCCTGGCCGCACTCACCAGGCAGCCCGAGGCGGGTGGGCGCAGGGGAGCGGCGGGGCCGGAACTTGACCTGGCAGGAGTTGACCACGACGCTGTCGTTGGGGTTGAGGTTGCGGGTGCTGACGATGCCAGGCGCGCAGTAGCCCTTCAGCAGCAGGTAGTTGGTGTGCGATGCCTGGCGGGCCTTCACCTCGATGCTGCGGCGCTTGGGCCCTGCCCCTTCGTCCAGGTCTTCCTCCTCGTCCTCATCCTCCTCCAGGGCCCCATCCTTGGCCAGGCTGGAAAACGGCTGGGCTGAGCCCTGGGAGCCCTCGGCCCGGATCTGCCTCTGCCTCCCTTCGGGACCTGCCTGGCCCCGTGCTAACGGGGCTTCTCCGCTCACTGTCCTCAGTACCCACCCTGGCTCCACAGTGCCCCAAGCACTGAACAGGAGTCCCCGTGCCCCGCCCTGGCCACTGCCCGGTGCTCACCTCTTAATGACCTCGTTCTCCACCATGGTGCTGTCCACCACCACAATCTGCTCGGGGATCCGGACGTCCACCGATATCAGGCCGAGTGAGAAAAGGGTCAGGACAGCCACGCAGTGTCCTCCGGGGCCGTCCAGCGAGAAGGGCACCAGGTCCGCGGAGGGGCCGCCGTCGGTGTCCTGGTCTTTGAAGGAGAAGCGGTCGGGCTGGTCCAGCTTCGGGGCACCCAGGATGCGGTTGAGGTACTGGAAGGACTCTGTGCACACGGTGCTGGGGAACCGCCACGTGAAGATCCTGCGACGGAACCGGTGCTGAGTGTGGGGGCCGCCCCTCCCCCTGGCCGGACGCAGAGAGGCAGCAGAGGGGACGCGGTGGCCTCCTGCCTGGCTGCTGCCCAGGCCGTGGCTCTGTGAGGGGTCAGGACGGGGAGACATGGCTCCCCCAGGGGGCGGGGGCAGGAGACCACCGACAGAGGGGACAGGCCACGTGTCTGGGTGTGTGCAGCCTCAGTGCACACGTGCAGTCCGAAAGGGACATGCAGGGACACGGGGACGGGAGGCTGGTCTGGCCACGGCACCCGCCCAGTGCATGAGGCTGAGGGCAGTGGCTGGGGGGGCGGGCCCGCAGGCCCCGGAGTCTCCTTGGGACGGAGAGTGTGAAGGGCCAGGAGTGGGGCTGAGGCCGGGGGAGGACGCTGGCAGGAGGCTGGGACGTACCAGGGGTGAGTAGGGGGCGGTGTCACTGACCACAGAGGGAGGGGATCAGCGGCTGCAGAGGGAACGCAGGACACCCGGCCAGCAGTGCCCAGCCCCGAGCCCCGAGGAAGCACTGGGAACAGCTCCCGGGGGCTGCACCCCCCAGGGCGGCCTTACTCCGCTGAGCAGAGCCCCTGCCCCGGGCCCCGGCCCTGCCCACCCACCCCTGGCCCTGCGAGGACTGACCTGTAGTAGGTCTGGGAGAGCTGGTAGGACATGGGCACGAAGGGCAGCGCGCGGTTCTTCTTGGGGCCCAGCGTGTGGTTGAGGCGGCGCCGGTTCACCAGGCTGCGCTTCTGGCACTCCACGAAGGCGCGGACCAGCACCTGGTCCTTGTACTCCCGGTACAGCCGGAAGGTCTGCAAGGAGACGGAGGCGGGAGTGGGGTCCCGGGGCAGGGGTGAGCGGGGTCCCGGGGCAGGGGTGAGTGGGGTCCCGGGGCAGGGGTGATGTGCGGCCCAGGGGTGTGTGTGCAGACTCCGGAGGGGCCCGGGTCTGGGTGCAGGGGTCCGGGCACCCTGCTCTGGTCTTGGGGCTGGGCGGGCTACAGGCTCTCCTGCGGAGGTCCCTGACACTCAACCTCTGGCCTCCGGGACACCGCTGGGTCAGAGCCGACCCAGCCTCAGTTTTCTGCTTCTCAGCTTCTGGGCTGGGCAGGGGCAGGGGCGCCCACCTGGAAGGGTTGGCAGGACTTCATCTGGCTGTCCGACAGGGCCAGCGTGCTCTGGATGAGGTTCTGGAGCACCAGGAAGTGGATGTCGTCCACACTGCAAGGGGAGAGGGAAGGGGCTCACGCCGGGCCACCAGCTTCTCGGGAGACCAGAGTCCAGCCTCCCGCCACCATCCACACTGCTGCAACCCACATCATCAAACAGGGTGGCGGTGACCCTTCACCCCAGTCAGCTTCCACCGGAAGCGACTCTCAGGCCAGCAGAACCACTGACCACCCCAGCGTGGTTAAGCCTTCATGTTTTCCTTATCCAATTCAAGAGAAGTAATTTTTTTTCTCCAAAGCGAATCAGCTTGTCGCGAACGTGAAACCACTGACGGGTTATTCGGGGAAGCCAAACTCCCCAGCAGAGCCCCCTCAGGAAGCTGAGAACGCAAACTCCCCAACCCCTGGAGGGCCCTGGGCAGGGGGGCAGGCTCTCCTAGCCAGATCACTGAAAGTCCTCGACGCCGTGGGCTGGATGGTCACTGTGGCAGCCACAGGGCAGCAGTGCCAGTGGCGCCCAGGCGGACACATGCGGGGACACGCGCTGTAGCCAGGTGCGGGGCCCCGTGGCATCCATGGAACTGCGCTGGACACTTGCCTGTGCAGCTCGTCCTCTTTCCCGAACTGGTCCTTCTGATCCCCGATCACCAACACTCGGTATCTGCAGGAGGAATGAGTGAGGAGCGAGTGCAGGGGCCACGCGGGGGCTGCCGGACACTGTGCTGGCCGAAACGGCCATGGACAGGCTGGATGAGGGGTCAGGGGGCCCCTGTCCGGTGGGTGGGCCTGTGGTCACTGGGCACCAGCAAACCCGAAGGGCAGTGGCGCGTGGGAAGTGCGAGCGGGCACGGGGGCCGGTCACAGCGAAGGGGAACAAAAGCGAGCTCGGCAGGGTTAAAACTAGGCACCAGGCAAACCCCGGAAGGACAAACGCCTCCGCGGAGAGGCTGTGTGCCACGTGCGCTGCAAACTCCAGTCTCCCACGATCGCTTCTCCAGCTCTGGGTGCCCACAGCGACCAGGGGCGAAGGAAGTTATACAGGCAGCTTCAGGGGCCGCTGCTTGGGAAGATGGCTTTTCCACTGCTACCAAACCTAAGGCAAACTCCATCTCTGCCGTGGGAAAACGTGCTCCAGTTCGGCAGCGAGAGAACGCGCCTTCCCAGGAAACCCGGGGTTGACTTTCAGCCACGGGACAGTATCAGGAACTAGTCTCCCATCTGGCCATGCCTGCCTCGGGGCCGATATCAAAGGCAGCGCTGAGCCGTCACCACTGAGCTTCCTCTCTTTCCTGCCCCTTTACCGCACAGACTCTGTGGGCCCTGGCGGGACAGGGGCGTGGACACCCCACTGCCCGCCACCTATGCTGCGTGGACCGTGACTGGCTCAGCGGCTGTGACCCATGTGCCTGTGTCCAGGAAGCACCGGCCACCCCAGCCAGCGCCACGGCTGGGACCTGAGACCCTGGTCGGCGCAGGACCTCTGGGTCAGCCAGCGCCATGGCCGGGCCAGCAAAGCAGCGACCTGCCTGAGAAGGGTCGTCCGGGGGGGTGGGGGGCAGGAGGGAAAGACCTTTGGACGCGTGGTAACCGGGACACACGATCTGAGGCTATGACTGTGGCCAAAACCAAGGCCAGCTGGAGAACAGCACGGGGGCAGCTGCCCAGGGTCCGATGGGTCACCACCAACACACAGGGGCATGGGGGGGGGGGGGGGCAGACGGGGCATCGTAGGGAACAGGATGAGGGGAGCCGTGAGTGGGGTCCCAGCACCAACACAAGCCCCCCAAGTGCCCGGGAAACCTGAGTGAAGGTGGGGGCAAGGCTCGGCGAGGGTCCCTGCGGGGGCCACCGGGGGTCACCAAGGACGGCGGGGGGTGGTAGGGGGGGACTCTACCTGGCAAACAGCTCCTCCAGCGTGTCGGGAATCTCGAGGTTGGGGTTCCGGAGTGCGGAGCTGAACTTCTCCCGGAGCCGCTCCACAAACTCCTTAAACTCGCTGGCGCAGACCTGCAGGGCAGCAGGGGAGGCTCTCGGAGCTCGGCCATGGAAGCCCCGTGTCACCGCCCCGCAGGCCCCGGGCCCTAGTGGAGATAGCGCCCTCCTTCCCGCCCTGACCCACAGCACCCGGGGGCCGGTGCTCTGGGATCCACGGCGCCCCTCGCCCCAGGCCAGCAACACCCCTCCAGCTCCACCCACACCCAGAACCCTCAGGTCACTGAGTCCCCCTTGCATGCTTCCCCCCTCCCCAGAGACACAGGGCGTGTCCCCCAGGACTGCAGGGGGCCTGCTGGGCCCCTCCCTGCTGCTCCTCTGAAGTGGTCTCAGATGCCCCCCTTCCCCAAAGCGGGGCAGGCGGGAGTCACGGCTGGGGGTGCGGCTGTCCCCGCCCTGTTTAGGGGCCCTGTGGGCAATTCCCGTCGCCTGCGGCCTGGATGGAGCTTGGGTCAGACAGAGTGAGAGCTGACCACAGGCACCGCAGCGCGCAGGGTCTGCGAGGCCACCCAGCCTGCCACATGTGCCCGGGACCGCCACCTCTGGGCACCCAGCACATGAAAGAAAGGAAGCTGCAGGGCCGGCCAGGCCCACCCCGTCCCCGTCCCGCCATCTGGGTCCCTGGCTCTGTCCTCATTCCTGTCCCCAGCTCTCCTGCTGTCCCTCCGTGGCCTGGGCGGGCCTGGGCAGTCCTGTCTCTGGTCACTGCTGCTGCCCTCCCTTCTCTCCTGTCCCCGGGCCCACGGAGGGACAAGTGGGGCCTTGCGCAGAGACGGCCGAGGCGGGAGCCAGGGCGGAGAAGGTGACAGGCCTGTGTGTGGACGCAGCCTCTCCTCATGGCCACCCGCAGGCCCTGCAGGGCTGACCCCCGTCCTCACACAGTGGCCCAGGGAACGGGCATGTCAGCTGGGACCATCTCCCCGGTGGGCCCCGGCCCAGCCTGGGCTCCACTCACCTTTGGGTTCTCATAGTCACACTTGCGGCTCATGAAGTCCCCGACGAGGGCCTTGTCCTGGTAGACCTCGGCGAGGCAGACCCTGGGGGGAGAGAACGGAGGGGTCGGGGCCGCCCAGGGAGGCGTGGGAGCCGCTGTGGCTCAGCAGGGCCAGAGGCAGGCTGAGTAGCAGCGCTCACGCCTCAGCCGGGCTCCAGGGGATACCGGGGACGGGCCTGCCACAGGCGGCCACGGTGTGCAGGGCCCCTGGATATCTGTGCCGGGTGTTTGTGGGGCCAGGCTCAGCTTCCCCACCGTCTTCGGCTCCTGTCTCAGGGCGACCAGGAGACCGGCCCGTGGGACGCGGATGAGGTGGCTCTGAGTGGGGCCTTCTGCGTCCCCTTTGCTGAGGGGCCTGCGGGGAGGGGCTCTGCCAACCACGGCCAGGGGGCACAGCCCAGGGCACCATGCCGCCAGATACCGGGCGTGGGGGTGCCAGCGACCTGTCCAAAGTCTGCGTGATGCTGGGGTGACGGCGGACGGTCTCACTGTCAAACTCCAGGACAATCTCACTGATATACTGGGGCCGTAGCCAGCAGTGCTCAGGGCTGACTCCCGGCTCTGTGCTCAGGGATCGGTCCTGGTGGGCTCAGGGGACCCGATGGGATGCTGGCAGACGCCCTCCCCGCTGCGCTGTGGTCTGGCCCCGGGGCAGTCTCACTGCTAAGCCACGCCCTGGGGTGGTCAGGGGCTGGGCAAGCAGGACGAGGACAGTGGAAAAGGGCTGGACGCCCCAGAAACCCTCGCCCGGCCGCTCGAGCGCCGCTTACTTGTAGTTGAGGTAAGTCTGCGGGTTCCTGACGATGTAGCGCGACCTTCGTCCAACCGAGTGAGATGTTTTATCCAGAGACTCTTCCAAGGTTGTGTGCAAAATGTCCCGCACGACTTGCCAGGGGACAAACGGGCCTTTCACCTGGGCAGACGGACAGCCAGGACGGAGAGTGAGTGGCCTCGTCCAGGCCAGGACCCGGGAAGGTGCGGGGGGCAGGCAGGAAACACCAACGCGAGTGTCCGGGAGCAGGGCAGAGGGACCCGGCAGCCTCCGTGCTGGGGGCCCGAGGGCGGGGCCGCGTCCACCTGCCCGCCCGCCCGCCCGCACCTTGGTGTTGAGCACGTTGCTGGCGATGCGGCACAGGATGAGCAGCCCGTCTTCCTGCAGGGTCCAGGTGACACGCAGCCGGGTCATCCTTTGCAGGGCGCTCTGGTCCGCCTCGTCGTGGTAGCGCAGCCTCTTGCTCTTCTCCTCCGGGAGCTCTTCCCGGGGCAGGGCGAGAGGGGCGGGGTGTCAGGCTGCGGGGAGCCCGGAGAGGGCCCCTCGACCCTGGCCCCCGTCTCCCTGGCCAGCCAGAGGCGGCCTCCGGGCTGGACACCGCCCTAAGGGATGCTGGGCAGGGACCGGGCCAGGGAGGGCTCAGTGCCCGGAGTTTCCCGGCTGGGGCAGTTCCATGGCCACGGGGAGCTCGAGGCCCCCCCCCCACTGCGCCTGCACCCAGGCCTGCCCCAGCCCCCCTTCCTGTGCACGGCCTGCCCGCTCCTCCCCGCAGACCTTTCCTCTTCCTCTTGCTCCTCTTCACCGGCTCCTTCTTCAGCCGCTTCCGCTTCTGGCTCTTCCCGCCCTTGACTTTCTGGTTTCTGTCCTGCGTGGGCTCCCGCTCCAGCTGCACCAGCTCCTTCCTGTCGGCACAGGGCTCGGGCCCCGTGCGCGCCTCGCCCCAGAGGCCCAGCCTGCCGCTGCCTGGGGAGCGACAGGAACGGCGGCCTTGAGGGGCACCCACACCAGGGCTAGCGGGGGGGGGGGGGGGGCTGGCCCTTGGCTGCGCCCACCCATGGGGGGCCCCATCTCTATCCCTGCCCCCGCATGCACACACGCGAGCACGCACACAAAAAACACGCACACATACACGAAAACACACGCACACACACAATATATGCGCGCACACACACGGACACACCCACCCACGCACGCACATACCTCCAGCACCAAGTGGCAGCGGGCGCCTGGACAGGAAGGTCTGCAGCCGCACCATGAGCCCATTCTCTGCGGGGGCGTTCTCCTGAAAGGCCAGCACACACTGAGGGGCTGGGCAGCCAACCATCCCCGATGCAGCGGGCAGGGGGCAGGTGCGGGGCAGGGACTGAGTGGTGAGCAGCCCCCCGCGTGGGCAGGGCTGGGGGAGATGCAGGCCCTGCCACCCACCTTCCTGGTCTTGCTGATGATGTAGTTGGTCCAGATCCAATTGCGCTTCAGGTGCGCGTAGAAGCTGGAGTCCAGCCCCGCGGCGCCCAGGCCGTCCCCGGGCACCACGCCCTCGTCCACCACCTCGCGGCTCCCCCTGGGAAGAGGCAGACGGAGCCGCTGGCTGAGACGCTCCTACTTGGCGCACGGGCCCAGGGCAGCACTGGTGCCCAGGACAGGTGGGACACAGGACGGACACGTGGGGGTGGGGGCAGATACGGGGAAGACACAGGGGCACGGGACGGGGGGGACGGGGTAGACAAAGGGGGCCTGGGGCGGACACGGGGCAGACCCGGGCCTGGCCGGTGGCGGCACGCACGTGGTGTACTCCAGCATGGCACACTTGCGCTCCAGGTTGTGCTTGTCGATGGCGTTCTCCTGCTCCTTCTGCAGCCCCTCCTCGTCGCTGCCCTGCTCGGTGCTGCTACTCTTGCGGGCCCGTGGGTAGCGCACCACACCTGCGAGAGCAGAGCAGGGCACTGCGTCTCCCTGCCTGAGGGGGGAGGGGGGGCGCGAGAGGCAGGGTTGCCCCCAGCGGCCGAGAGAGCTGAGCCAACGGGGAGGACCTGTGTCGGACCACCGGCTGGGCCTGGAGGAGCCGGCGGGCTCAAGGGCTCCGGGCAGGGGCAGGGCGGCCTGACAGGGGGCGCCAGGAGCAGCCAGAGGTCGGCGGGCCCAGGAGGGGTGTGAACGTCACCGAGAAACGAAGCTTGGTTTATTCCACAGCACGCTGTTCTCGTAAGGACAGACCTAGGACAGGCCGAGCCGCTGTGGGCAGGGGCAAGCGGAGTCGGGTCATCTGCAGACTGGGCCCCCCGGGCGGGCGCAGGCACGAGGGTGGGCCCCGGGCACCCCACTTGTCCCGGAGGCCCCCGGGCCCTGCAGGCAGCGGCGGGTCCTGCTCTGGCAGTGAGGACTCTGGCCCGATGGAGGAGGTGACAGAGAGCAGAGCAAGGCCCCTCTGGACAGCTGGACAGTGACACCAAGGGCTCAAAGCCCCGCCAAGCTGTGCTCCGGCCCCCTGCCCGCCTTGGGGCCGGCCTGGCTCTAGATACAGTGCTCAGGGCTCCGCGGGCACTCGGTGTGCTCGCAGACAGACCGGGTCTCGGTTCGTGCCAGCGCGCAAGGCAGGAACAGCTGGGACCTGGGGTGACCCGCCTCATGCACACGCGTGTCCGGGCGTCCCTGTGTAGGCGGGATCATGCACACGTCCCCCTCTTTCCCGGGGAAGCTTCCACGCGCCTGCTACTCGGATCCTAGATTCATGGCACCAGTGAGCCTCCCACGGGCCCGCGACACCACCAACAGGGCGGGAGAGGCCCAGCGGGGTCAGTTGGGGGACAACCCAGTGTAGGCCACTCCTGGCAGTGCTCCGGGATCACTCCCATCGGGCTTGGGGGCCCGCAGGGGTGCTGAGCATGGAAGCTGCATAAGCGAGCGTGGGCACATGTGCAAGGCAGGCACCCCCCCCTCCGCCCCCCGTGCCAGCTCCCTGTGCCCCGGCCCCTCTATCGTGCCCTTTAGTATCTGGAGCAGCGGCAGCCCAGCTCAGGCTGAACGCTGGCGGACTCTCCGAAAAGTGCTCTTCCTGAGAGCGTCTGGGCCCATGGAAGCTTCTAAAGATGAGCTTGGGGCTCTGCCGGCACAAAATAGTCCTCACTAACCAAACAGGCCTCACTAAGATGCCAGAGTCCCTACGCAGGACAGGGCATGGCGGGGGAAGAGGGCAGGTCCCCCCAGCCCCTGGCAACTGTGTCCTCTATGAAGGCCATCGGGGAGGAGCAGACGGGGAGGGAAGCCACGTCCCCCAGGCTCCAGAACCAGAGCCTCGAGGGCTTCCTGCAGGAGCAGTGCTGCACGTGGGCGTGTGCAGAGGGGAAGAGCGACTCCAGGACGGCCAGCCCTGCACAGCCTCCCCCGACTGCCCCGGCGGCCCTCACTGGCCCGCCCACTCCTCCCCTGCGTCCCTCGTCTGTGCTCCACGCAGCGGCTGGGGCAGTTCCGTGGGCTCACGACCTTGCCACTCACAACTGTGCACGGCCACAACGTCCCCCCCCCCCCACTGCCCCCCAATGGCTCCCGAGGTCCCTGCTCCTGGCTCCGTCCCACGTCTCAACAACCGCACGGCTCACACCTGGGCCTCGACCCCAGCACAGTCTCCTAAGTCCCCCTGAAATGCACCAAGGCTTGCCTCCTGGTCTAGCGAGCAGGACACTGCCCGCCCTGGCCTTCTCCAGGCACACGGCAGCCCTGAGGGGCAGAGCAAGGCCCCGCCTCGCCCCCCCACCCCCACAGTACCTAGCGGGGTGTTGAGGCAGACGCACTGCAGGTCAAACCAGTAGTTCTCCACGTCCTGCATGGACTCCAGCACGTACAGGCGCCGCTCGAAGGGCCGGCTGCTGTGGGCCAGGTTGTAGTGCGGGTCACAGATCGTGGTGTCCACGATGGTGGCATTCCTCTTCAGGTAGACGAAGACCTGCGAGAGCCGGGTCAGCGTGCGGGGCCGCCGGCCCGCCCCCTCTGCCGCCGCCAACCCGGGGCGCCCGGCACGCTCGTTACCTGGTCTTTGTCCTGGAACTTCTCCGTGGGCCCGAACTGCAGCAGCCCCATGTAGCAGAGCCGCTGCAGGTTCTCCACCACCGAGAAGATGTAGCGTCTGGGCGGGGGGAGGGGGGCGCAGGCGGGGCTCAGCGAGCGGGGCGCGGAGCCTCCTCGTCCTCCCCTTCCCGGGGGAGGCCCAGAAACGCCCACTCTGTCCCCCGACCAGAGCCTGGCCGGAGAGTGGCCTAGATCCAGACAGGGCCGATTCCCAGCACCCCACCTGGTCCCCGGAGCCCCGCCAGGAGGGACCCCCACACGCAGAGGCCAGAGTGAGCCCCGAGCAGCGCCCGCGGGGCACCTGCAAGGCCAGGCGGCCACAGCCGCAGGTCCGGCTCGAACCACATGCCCGCCCGTGGGGGAGCAGGCGCAGACGCCCAGGGGGACGGTGGGGTGGGGCCTCCTCACCGCTTGTACAACAGCTGCTGCCGGATGTGCCTGGGAAGAAAGCGGATCAGCGTGTGCTTCTTCAGGGGGTCGCTGAGGAAACCCTCCAGGCCGTCCACCTAGAGGGGCGGTCAGGGCCACAGTGAAAACAAGGGCCCCTCCCCCCCACAGTCCTGGCCTCCGGTCGGCCAACAGCCAAGCACGTGCCCGAGCCTGTGGGATGGCAAGCCCCCCCCGCCCCAGCCCACTCCGCAGCAGCCCCTTCTCGGTCTGGGGCTCGAATTTTCCCTCCTGCCCCTCTGCCCTGTGGTGGACGGGCCAGTCTCTGCCACTGAACTAGAGAACAAACGCCCAGTGCCCCAACCAGTGACTCCACTCGAGCTTCAGCCTGAAGAAGCCCTCCTGTGGCTCCTCTCTCTCTCTCTCTCTCTCTCTCTCTCTCTCACACACACACACACACACACACATGCACACAGACGCATATACACATACGCACACGCACACACCAGAAGGTTCTCTCTGGCAAGCTCGTCAGAAGGCCCCCAAACTGGGCCGGGGAGGCAGGTCAGGAGGCGGGAGCCCCAGCTCTAGCCCCGGCACTGCGGGCGCTGCCCGGTGGGCGCCAGCACAGCCAGGATGGCTGAACCAAATAATTTAAGATTACCATCTAAAAATGAGAAACTTAAACGCCCCAAATAGATTCTTAGTTACATAAATTAGGGCAGGCGCGGTAACCGAGCTTACTTCAGAACTTAATGATGTGGAAAATATGATACATTGTTCAGTGGAAAGAATAGAGAGAGCGAAAATGTTCTCAATTGTGTTTTTGTTTTCAAAGGAGTTCTGCTCCACACACAGGCACACACACACACACACACACACACACACACACGCACACAGGAGGGGAACGAAGGCCCCGGAGCAGCAGCAGAGGCGGGTCCGGGGCCGGCGGGCATGTCACCTGCAGCTCTGAAAGGTCTCACCGTCTGCCCTACAACTACCAGCTACCTGAGAATCAAACAACCCAGTCAAGAACAAATCCCTCGAGAATCTTCCCGACACATCGCCTTCCTTTCCCCTCCCTTCCTCCCTCCCCTTCCTTCCCTCCTTCTCTCCTTTCCCTTTCTTCCTTCATTCCTTCCCCTTCTTCCCTCTCCCTCCTCCTCCCTTTCCTCCCTCCCTCACTCCCCAGTTTCCCTCTCCCTTCCTTTCTCCCTCCATCATTCCCTTCTCCCTCCCTCCCTCCCTCCCTCCCTCCCTCCCTCCCTCCCTCCCTCCCTCCCTCCCCCTTTCCCTCTCTCCCTTCCCTCCCCTCTCCCCCCTCCCCCCCTCCCATCACCCATCCAACCGCCTGTCCACTAGCATATGTGGAAGGACCCGGCTCTGCAGGACGTGCCCTTGACCACCCGTCTATGCCCACATCTGTCTGATCCACCACGAGCCACGAGAGCTCCCCGAGACGCGGGCCCGGGGCCGGCATGCGGCGGGGGCTGCCCTTACCTGGTAGCTGACTTGCACGATCTGGACGAAGACGGAGAGGGGCAGGCAGAGGAGGATGTCGCTGACCAGCGCCCAGCCGAAGCCAAAGTCCCTGTGGACGGGGATGGGAGGGACGAAGCGCGTCCACGAGGTCTCGTCCACGTACACTAGGAGAGAGCGAGGGGGCAGGGCCCACGGTCATCAGGACGGCAGCCTCGCCTCCCGGGAACCGACGGGGCCTGCTTCTGAGCGCAGAGACCCCCTCCTCACCTCGGCCCGAGGACAGCTCCGCTTCGTCCAGGGGGTCCTTGGCCGGGCCGTCGCAGGGGGCCTCCAGTTCACTCCCGGGCGCCGGCTCCGGCTTGCCTGTCCTCCTCTCCTTCTCCGCCAGGTTGCTGTCGGGGTGCCCGTAGATGAGGTACCACAGGAACGTGTGGACCACCCGCAGGCGAGGCATTTTGGGCAGAAACCCCAGGGAACGGCCGAGTCCTGGAACTGAGGCAAGGCAGGGAGAGCGGTGACCGGGAGAGGCCAGGTTCAGCTCAGCCCACGCTGCTGAGGGCACCGCGCCCAGGAGCCCACAGACGGTAGCCACAGACGGTGAGCCTCCCTGCCCTCGTGGGACTCAACAGTCTGAGAAGCCACCGGAAATGAAAAGAGGGGGAGGAGGTGGGCAAGGTCTCTCGGGCGTGGGGTTGGCGGCCTGCGGCGGGTGTGGGTCCGGCATACTCCAGAGAGGTCTGGAGGCTGGGCCAGGGTCAGCCAGGAGGCACAGTGCAGGGGAGGAGAGAGCGGGAGGTGCGAGGGACAGGTCGGAAGCAGGGACGCCGTGAGCATCAGGACGAGACAGAGAGGAGGAAGCCTGGGGCAGCGGCTCCGCCTCCTGGGCCAAGACCCAGTGGGAGCTGCCAGCCCCCTGCCGCTGTGCCCCTAGCACCCTCTGACATGGCCACGCCCAAGCCGCCAGCCAGGGAAGCTATGCAGAGAACCTTCTCGATTCGCGATTCCCGGCAGGGCACTTCCTGTCCAGCCTCACCCCTGCGCTGTGCAAGCAGGTGTGCGGCTAGGGGTGGGGGAGCGAGCGCCCCTCTGCTTCCCCGTGGCCCAAGGCTGCCAGGGCAGCCCTCAAGACTGCCTGAGGCTGCCACAACCTTCCGGACAGGGGGGATGAGCCGGAGTGCTCCTCTGTGAATGATTCCTCCCACGGATCGTGCGGTTCCCTTCATCCGGTTCTCAAAACTGCCCAGGAGGTGCCACGGGCAAGAACTGCTACATCAGACTCGACTCTGGCTCAGCTCAGTGGGCGCAGGAGGACCCCCTCCCCAACCCCCACGCACACTCCACCTCTGCTCGCCAGTGACATGATAGGGCCACGCCAGCCACGGGGTCCATGCTACCACAGGGGCCATCCCAAGGCCACACCAGTCATGCCCAGGCGGGGCAGCTCCTTACCCATGACAGGGTTGTAGTTCTTGAGCTGGGTGATGCCCATCTTCTCATCCGTCTTTTTGGCCCGTCCACTCTCAGGCTTGGAGGCCACACTGGGTGGCGCGTCTCCTGACCGGCTCGGACCCTCTTTCCCGGGACTTTCCTCATCGGCCTCCCCCGGTGGCAATGGAGGTGGCGCCACTTTAATCCTGCGGGTCCAGCACATGCTTGGTTGGGGCCACAGCTGGGAGACCCGCGGGCAGCACCCCCGCCCCCTGGGGCACTCGAGGTCAGGGCGGGGCGGGAACGGAGGCACCGGAGAGGGCAGCCCCACCTCTGGGAGCTGCTGCCTCGCCAGCAAGTGCAGAGACACATCCGCAGAGGCCTGAGCCAGGGAACCGGATGTGACGGGCAGTAGGGCTATGCCCCCCCCACCAACCAGGCTGCCCCCAAGGTGCCACCTCCAGTACACGCCCAGCAGGAGTGTCCCCCAGCCGACCTCTGGCTCACCCCTCTGGGGGCTGAGGAGCCGGAGTGGATGGGAAAGGGTGCCTGGGTCACTGTGAGGCCACGCAGCGCCCCGGCCACCAGCTGCGGTCAGCCAGAGGGAGAGGCGCCAGGCGGGGTGGTTTTCTCTTCAAGCGACCGAGAGGGCCCCTCGCGTGGGCACAGGGCGCGGGCCTTGCCTGTTGGCGGTGCTGGAGTTGGAGATCCGGAAGCGGACCTGCTCGATGGCGCTCCTCACCAGGGGGTCGTTCTGGTCCATGGACGGGTGTACCACCAGGTCCACCTGCAGAGGGGGTGGCCGTGAGGGGCCGGCCATGACCTCCCCAGGTCCCCAACGGAACGCTGGCCAGGCCTGCTGGGGCCACGGCACTGCTGGCCGGGACAGCCCCTGGCCTGGTGCCCATCTGCCCTGGCGTCCGCGCCTCTCTCTCGGGGCCTTTCCTGAGGGTTCTCCTGCAGCCTGGCTCCCAGGCGGCCCCCAGGGACTAATGCCAGGTGAGTCCTGGGGTTCCCCGCCCCCGGGAGCTAAGGTGGCATGTGCCGGGGCTGAGCCTTCTCCTAGGCGGGAGCTGGGGTAACAGGCGGAAAGTATGGGAGGGAAGGGCCTTGAGCCTGTGACGGGTGCAGGGACCCCCGAAAGGCGTGGGCTGAGTTTTCAGCAAGAGGCAGCGAGGTGCAACAACTCCACAGCCCAGGGCCCAGCTGGCTCCTTCCCCGGCCGGAAGCCTGGACATGGCCGACGTGGGGAGCTCCGGGAAGGGGCCCAGCTCTGAACTTGAAAGCAGATGGGGGAGAGGAGCAAAGCCCCTGGACCCCCGCCATGTCCCCTGCCTTCTCCAGGGAGGGCAGGTGGCGGGAGTCTGTGGCCGGGGCGGGAGACTTGGTGCGCCCTTCTTTTGCTTTTTGTCACCAGTGATGCTCAGGGCTGACTCCTGGCTCTGCACTCAGGCATCACTCCTGGCAGTGCTTAGGGGGACCACACGGGATGCTGGGGATCGAACCCGGGCCAGCCGCGTGCAAGGCAGACGCCCTCCCTGCGGTGCTACCTTCTTCTTGATGCCGTCCTGGATGACGGTGGTGCGGTACAGGCGCAGGAGGCCCTCCTCCGAGAGGTTCCGCACCAGGCGGATGATGGACTTCTTGCAGCACTTGGTGGACACGCCCTCCTGCTTCTCCTGGTCCATGATCATCTTCTGGATCCTGCGGCGCCACAGAGCAGGCCCTGAATGCCCTCCGCCCACCGCACACGGAGGCCCGGCCCCGAGGGACGGACAGACGGAGGGACGGGCTGGTTGGACAGAGCGCCACTGCTGGCCTCTGACAATCGCGGCAGAGAAACGGGGTTGGAGCTCTGTCTCCCAGGTGCCCAAGCCGCCTTCACTGCAGACTGGGGGCCCCAAGTCCCCCGCCCCGTCCCCTCCTCAGCACCTCCCAGGTGATGGGGGCCGATTCCTGGCTGTGTGTCCACACTGTGTAGGGACTTCACTAAACCCCCCACCTGCTCTGCAGGGCAGGAGGGACCAGGCCACTGCAGGGTCCCCGCTGACCAGAGGGCACCCTAGCCCCTCGCCCTGGCCACAGGGCAGACCCTGCTCAGGAGAGCACCCTGCCGGCCGCGGGCACAGGCCCAGGGCTCAGTGGCCAGAGCCAGAGAACAGAGTGGCCGCTCCCTACCCGCACCCCGCTGGGGCATCCCGTGCTCAGGAAGGCCCCAGCCGAGAAGAGACTCTGGGGAGAACCGGCAGCAGAGCTGTCCCCAGTGCCCTCCCCTGCTGCTGCCACCTCCTCCGCACGGACCCCCGGGCTGGGGAAGGCGACCTGCTTTCCTGTCTCGCATCCTGGGGACACACCCCAGCCCCCTCCACGGGACCGTCCGGCAGCCCCAGGCGGGCACACGCGGCGGGCGGCTCCTTACGTGAACAAGCTCTCGATGAGCCGGAGGTTGGTGACGGCCTCGATGATGAGGTTCCTGCGTTTCAGCAGCCGGTACGTTTCGTGGGGCTTGTCCTGGCCTTGCTTCCCGGACTTCTGGGAGCTGCTCTCCTGGGGCAAACACACGGACGCGGGGCTCAGTGGGGCGCAGAGGACGGAGCAGCGGCTGGGAGCCCCCACGCGGGCCCTGCTCCGGGCTCGGGGGTGGCTGAGCAGGGTCTCCAGTGAGGGTCCCGGGCTGTTTCCTCAGGGAAATGAGAGGCGTCTGCTACAGCGGCGCCAGAGCAGAGCGAGGGCCTGGCCAGCCCTCCCGGGGGCGAGGTCAGGGCCATGCAGCTGGCCTGGGGCTGCCCGTTAGCTGGCTGACACCCGCTGAAGAGGCGCCCACATCACGGGCAGGAGGCCGCGCTCAGAGAACACTGGGCACTGGCATCAGGGCCAGCAGGGCGGGGGACGCCGTCAGCCTGCGCTTCCACTCCTTGTGCTCCTCGTGCTCCTCCTCCCGCTCCTCCCGCTCTTCTTCCCGCTCCACCTCCCTCTCCTCCTCCTGCTCCTGCAGGCCAGACCCCAGGAGTCTGGGGAGTCTCAGCTGAGCAGGATCAGGATCGGGGTGCAGAGGGCAGGAGATGAGGGGCGAGAGCAGGCCGGGCTCTCCCTACCCCTGCTGGGTGCCCACCATTCTCCTCCTGATGGGAAGGGACCCGCCCTGGACACTTCCTCAGAGCCGCGTGGGCCCTAGGACCCGCTCAGTGGGGTGCCCTTGCCGTGGGGGCTGCGGGTCCCAGCAGGGGGCCCTCAGGAGGCAGTGAGGACAGCCAGGCCCAGGTGGGTGCCCTGCAGACGGCGTGGGAGGACTGTCCTGTGTGGGGAGAACGCTCCCAAGGGAGCCGGTCCAAGTCCCAGGAGGCCCCAGGAGCAGCGGGAAAGCTCGGTGGGCCACACCCCAGAGGAAGCCAGCCTGGGGCCCCGGGGGCCACTGCAAAGGGAACACAGAGCAGGGCCATGCCTGACCCAGCAGGCACAGTCAGACCTGGTCTCGTGTTGGCCCCAGGGCTGGAGACACGTGGTCAGGGCCGAGTGCCTGCCCTGTCTGTGATACCCCAAGTTCAACCCTCGGAACTGCCATGACCCCCCCGAGCACTTTCACCGGAGTCACCCCTGAGCACAGAGCCGGACGTAGCCGCCAGCACTCGGCACATCCCAAACAAGAAGGTGCAAAGCGGGTGCGGGGCACGGAAGCAACCGGCCTCCACGGAACAATGCCAATCGTGACGTGCTTGTGCCGGATGCACCCAGGGAAAGGAGGGTCAAGGGGTTCGAGGAAAGGGCAGAGATCCTGCCCCTCCCCACCCCTCGGTCCTCTGGCTGCAGCGGGAGACAGGTCACGCCACAGCAGGTGGGACGCTGGCTCCCCAGCACCTTTGGCATGAGCTGGACCAGCCAGTCCTCCCAGCCTGGCCTCACCCTCCTCCCACCAGACAGAGCGAACATTCAGCTGCGTGTGCGGCTGCAAAGCCCACGGGCAGCCACGGCACCACACACCATGGCACCACACCAGCCACAATACCACACAGCCAAGGCACCACACACCACAGCACCACACATCCATGGCAACACATACCACGGACCACACACAATACCACGTCCACATTCATGTCCCAAACCCCCGGTCCTAACTCTGCTCCAAGGAGGGAACGTGGTCCTGAGGCTGCACTTCTCAAGGCAGGACATGCCCCTGGTGGCACATGACAAAGGACATGGGACATAAGGCGATGAGCTTCGTAACAACTATCAAGGGCCCGTCTCGCTGCACCCACAGAAGGAACCACCAAGCCTACTGCGTCCTTAGCTCTGGCCCACAGCAGTCGGGGAGATTTTACAGTCACCTTAATTACGGGAAATCAATCCCCAGCTTCTCCCCTGGCCCAGGCACTGGCTGGCACGTGGGGATGATTGTGCTGGGGGGTGTCCTGCGTGTCTGACGGCATCCCTGGGCACTGCCTGTGGGGCAAAACTCCCCAAGCGGTGCCATGATCACCGCCTGGAGCCGTCTGCCCAGCAACACCAGCCCCGAGAGAGAACCAGTGAGCGACCCTCGCCAGCCCGTGTCCCCACGGGGAGGGCCCAGCACAGGGTGCCCGGCCAGGCCCGCTCACCTTTGGGTTCTCCAGCTTGACCTCCTCGATGACAGCGATGTCGCCCAGGTTGCTCTCCACGCAGTGGGAGCCAAATGACGCATTGGGGTCTGAGGAGCTGCTGCTGTCCAGAACACTGTCCCCGTAGACCACGTTCCGGATGGTTTTCTCCTCTGCAGAGCCCGGGGAGCCGACAGCCGGTGGCTTCTTCAGCGGGTGCAGGTTCAGGATTTTCCACCCGCCTGCAGGGAGGAGATATATGAAGCCCTCCGAGGGGCAGGGGGTCAGGGGAGAGCAACACCCCCGTCAAGGGTCCCCCACTCCTCACTAGGGTCACAGGATTCCACCAGTCCGGTCCACAGAACAGGCAGCGGGGCACCCTGGCCCCCACGTTAACAACCCACTGTCCAGATCGAATGCCCCCAGGCTTTATTTCCCCACCCCACCCCCGGTCTGGGGGCCACACCCAGCAGTGCTCAGGGCCTTCGCCCTGCTCTGTGCTTGGGGATCAGTCCTGGCGGGCTCGGGGGGACATATTAAGTGCTGGGTTCTAACCGGGGCTGGCCATGTGCAAGGTGAGTGCCCTCCCCGTGGTGCTGTGGCTCCAACCCCCCAGAGGGACTGGGGGGTCGTCAGGGGCGACAGCTGAGGACGTGGATGAACTCCTGTCCCTTCATCCATAAACCCACAGCCATGCACTCCACCTTGCAAGCAGCTGGAGAGTGACGACGCGGTCGCCCCCCGAGCCTCGCGGGAACCCCACTGCCCACCCGAGCAGGGAAGCAGTGGCACGAGCTCCTCAGTGAAGGCACCAGACAAGGCGGGGAGGCTGGGACGTCCCCCTGTCCCCATCCCTGACCCTGCGGGGCCCGGGGGGGCACCCCTACCCTTGGTGGGGGTGGAGTGGTGTGGCAGGGCCTTGGCGTCCCCCCGGGCCCTCCTCCTGCCGCCGCTGCCGCCCTCCTCGTCGCTGTCCGACTCCGACAGGAAGGTGTCCTCGGCCTCGGCCAGCAGCGACTCGTCCTGCATGGCGGCCAGGCTGACGGTGGTCAACAGCTCGCCCCGTGCCTTCTCGCGCTCGTACTGGCGGCTCAGGTCGCTCTCCTCGGCGAACACGCACGAGATGTACTTGGTGGTGCGCTGCCGCCCCTCGTCCTCCATGAAGCCCTGCGGACGGCGAGTGCTCGGCCACAGCGCGGGTGGGCGGCTGCCCCCCCTCGGGTCTGGCCGCATCTCCTCCAGCCCGGGGCCCCCCCAGGGCTCACCCGATCTCCATCTCTCGGGACACCCTATGGGGGGGCAGTTGCCTTCCCTGTCCTTTCTCTTTCCGATTTTTGGGGCACACACAGAGAAAACACATCTTTGATGGTCTGTCTGTGACCACACCTGGCAGTTCCCGGGGAGCCGTCCTGCCTCTGTGCTCAGGAGCTCTGGGGACCGTACTTGAGGCTGGGGCTGGGGCCAGGGCAAAGCCACCGCAGCCCAGAGCACACAACACCTGCCTTCCCTCTGGCCAGAGGCTAACACCTTTATGCCCTGTGCCCAGGACAACGCCCAGGGCCTGGCAGGGGTGAGTTCCTTGGTCATGCTGCCGGCAGGAGAAACAGACCCCAAAGTGGCAGCAAACGGGGCCCTCGGGACTAAGAAGTGAGCAGGTCCGGGCAGACAGGCTGGCAACGCCCCTGGGCAGGAGCAGGCAGGCATCAGGCAGGAGGGGTAGAGCCTAGAGTCACCCCTAGAGTCAGGGGGGTTGAAGGGGTCACCCCACACAGGCCGACCCTGCACACACACACACACACACACACACACACCCTACCTCCTGCTGGCTTTCCAATGCTCCAAGCGGGAAACAAACACCCCTAGGGAGGGGCGTCCCGACCCCCGCCCACCCCGCGGGATGGTACCTTGACCACTTTGAACCTCTGCAGGAGACGGCACAGCATCCGGGCTTCCAGCTTGCCCACGTTCATGGCCACTCGGATCTCTGCCTGGGAAATCCCTTTGGTGCCTCTGCGCTCGACTGCATATGGGACAAGGCGGTCGGGACCTGCTGCTGGCCGCCCCCACCCCTGCCCCTGCCCCTTGGAGCATGGTGGGGGAGGAGGAATCTGCTCCTGCTCCGGCAGTCACCTGTCCGGGTCGATAGGGATGGCACCGTACCCACTCCCGCCCGCCTCCTACCACGGCCCACGGCTCCGTCGTTCCCAGCCGCAGCCCCAAGTCGGCTTTCCCGGGCCGGGTAACGGAAATGCACCCTGACTGTTTAAAAGCATCGGAATGATTGGTTCGTTTTGGTTCTGGGGCCTGACTCCACAATGCTCAGGGCTCACGCCTGGCTCTGCACTCAGGGATCACTCCTGATGGTGCTTGGGGGACCACATGGGATACCTGGGGATCGAACCCAGGTCGGCCGCATGCAAGGCAAGTGTCCTGCCCCCTGCCCGCTGTACCATCTCTCAGACCATAAATAATCTTTAACGTGGAGATTTTCCTATTTCCCTGTCTTCCTCTGTCAACCCAGAGGCTGAAGGACTGTTGTCCTGTCTGCTGACCGCCATGGGCCGGGGACGATCCACAGAACCAAAGGCGGCATGTCTGTAGGCAACAGCCAGTAAGGCGGAGCCCAGGCCTGCACTCTGGCCAGTTTATCAGCCACATCCTGCCACTGTGGTCATTTCTGAGCGCTGTGCCCCCATCATCCTTCAAGAGTCTTTTAAGAGACATTTGGCGAGTCCAGGAATGGGAAACCTGGGACGAGTTCCACCTGGCAGCTGCAGGAGAGACCTGGGGGCAGAGCCTTTCACTGGACCCTTATTTCTGATGCTCCCACACTGGAGGCCTCCAGGAGCAGGAGGTGAAGGAGGCCATGCGGGGCCCACGTGAAGGAACGAAGGCAGTAAGGCCACGTCCTGCATGGAGCCCGCTACCGTGTAAGGAATGGGTGGTGGGGGGTCTGGAGGGTGAGGGGCTGGGGGTTCTGAGAGGGTGAGAGGCCGGGGGCAGGAGACAGCTGCAGGGTCTGTGGGCACATGCTCTGGACCAGGAGTCCTGGGTTCGAGCCCCAGCACTGCTGGGTCTGGCTCCTCCCTTCCCCCACCACCCCCCAAAATAAAAGGCTAAAAGAACAGGAGGGAGAGGTGCAGCTCTGCCCCGGCAGCGTTTGAGAGAGGCTCGGCGGACAGAGCCGCCCAGAGTCCCATCCACTGCGGGGCCATGCATATGCACCCGTGGGCTCCCTCTGCCCTCAGCCCTCTCCAAGGCAGCCCCCTCAGAATCTGGGGGATGGGGGTCCAGGAGGAGGCACCAGTACCGGGGGAGGGTCAACGCTGAGTGGGAGGGACTTTGCAGAGCACCAGGTGGACACTGGACATGCACACCCAGCACCTCCCTGGGCTCTCGTGTGTGTGTGTGTGTGTGTGTGTGTGTGTGTGTGTGTGTATGTGCGTGTGTTGGCAAGGGCTGGCAGCCCCTGTTCCACAAAGGATGCATCTGGATGCTCCCACCAGCCTCCCAACTCCAAGGGGAACCCCCAGGGCCCCTCCCCCGCCTGGTGGCCCCCAGCTCCCCAGCCCACTGCTCCACCCACACACCCCGGGGTGCGGACAGGGCGGGACCTACTGAGCTCGTAGGTCTGCGTGAGCATGTCCCGCTCGTACACCACGTCCACCAGCGGCACCCCCTTGGAGATGGCCTCCTCATCCTCGTCGTCGTCTTCCATCTTCCGCCGGAACTCCTTCAGCAGCCGGAGGCAGCGCACCATGACATCGGTCCCTGGGGGGCACAAGGCAGGGGCACTAGGGGCGATGCAGGTAGTGGGCAGGCCCAGCCTCAGCCCCCGGGGCCGAGCCCCCGTGTCCCCCGACCCCCCACAGCCCCCGGGACCTTCACCCCAGTTCCGGGATTTCCTTGAGCAGGGAGAGTCTGGCAGGGGGCACTGCTGCCTCTGCCCGGGACAGCGCTGGCCAGAGCGAAAGCACAGGAGGGGCCAGGGCTGAGCTGACCGCCACTTGCCATGTCCATGCCATCGCGGACTAGTCCTCTCGCTGGTGCCAGGGAGTGCCCGGCGCAGCTGGCCTCGGGGGCTGGCAGCAAGGGGCTGGCTTCCCGGGCCAGGGGCAGAGGCAGGAAAGAGAAGAACGCCCCTCCCCCCTTCACACCTTGCCCAGGGCTCTTGGTTTTGACCCAAGTCTCCGGCACCCCTGTTCTCTTTCTGGAGCTACAGGTGTAAGCCAAAGCCTTACATGGCCTGTGGTGTCCCCTGGGCCCCAGCTGTCCCCAGCGGCCAGTGTGGGGAGGGACAGGCAGGCTGAGTATAGGGGCTCAGCTCTAGGCCCCGGCAGCCGCCCACCCTGCAGGGTGCTGTGGGAGAGTGGCCTGAGGGGGGGGTAGAATCCCCAACGGTTCCTGCTCCAGACTGGCCGCCCCGTCCCCCCTCAGGAGTGCAGCGGCTCCTCTAGGTGCTCAGGTCCTGCCTGAGGCAGGTGTGCAGTAAGGACGGAGGGTGCCGAGAGCCGGGGTGGGTGAGAGAACCAACGCTCCGTGCCCTGCCTGCCGTGTCGATGGCCCGTCCGTCCACCCGTCGCTGCCCCAGACAGACCACAGAAGGAATGGGATGATGGGACAGCACCTCTGCCCGGTTCCGGTCTATCCCCTTGGCCTGAGCCAAGCTCAAAGTCCATTTCCCTCGATAACCGGGAGATGAAGGCGCCGAGACACCACAGCATGGGGCGGACAGAGAACCAGGCTGCTCTCAATTCCCAAACACACAGCATGCACATACAGACAGGCAGACACACAGACACAGACACAGACACACAGACACAAACGCACACACAGACGCAGACACACATAGATACATACACACAGACACAAACACACATAGACACACACAGACACATACACACAGACACACACAGCACCCTGCGGCTGCTCCCCCAAAATGGAAGCCCTGCATGTGCTTCTAGGCGTGTCTCACACACACACACACACACACACACACACACACACACACACACATACACACAGCATCACAACTCCTCAGGCTGAATCAGTAACTCGATCCTGCAGGTCCCCAGAGCACCTGGGGGCAGACGGGTGGGTGTCAAGTCAAGGAACTGCAAAAACACACAAATACCCCGGCACCAGTCTTCACCTGGGCCCCGGCCCCGGCCCTCTCCCGAGCTCCCACTCCCCCTTGCACAGGAGTCCCTCTGCTCTCTCCTTCCCCAGCGCCCAGGCCCTTCTTCCGTCAGGACCTCCAGGGGCCCCAAACCACGGCACCGAGGCCTGTCTGCCTGTCTGCCGGCAGGGCTGCCTCCCTGGGCCCGGCCGCACCCAACGCGAGCGCCCGCCCGTTTCACCTCTCTGCTCTTGCGCGTTCCCAGCTGCATCTCCACATTCAAGGGTCTATTTCTTTTATTATCTTAATTATAAACGATAGTAATTACTTTTCATTTTTCAGTCAGTAACCTTTAATACCTTTATCACTTGTAAAGAGACCTTGCTGGTCACCGCTGTTCCCCAGAGGAATTAATTTTCCAGGCTTTATGTTTTCTTAACAATCACTCGCCATTCTTTTTGTGTTCAGGCTCACCCTTCACCCTTATCACTTTTTCCCCCTAATAATCTCTGATGCTCATTCTTCTTAACTCCTATTTTCTGGCTTGAGCGCCCTTTTAAACCTTCCTTTTATTGCAGGCTAATCCTTACTACGGCTGGCTTCTTTATTTCCAGCTTGCATACTTGAATCTGACTATAATTTTCACCACCAACCCCCCTTGCCATTTTAATGATCTTAATTTAGTCGTCTCTGCCCCGCTGTGAAGTGTTTCTTGGTGTGCCCTTTTTCTTTTCAAAATTTCTAACAGCTTTATCTAGCTACAACTCGTATACTAATACTGCACGACTCACCTCCTTGACAGCGCCCAATCCAGTGAGGCTCTATCTAGTCTCCGGGAGCACTCGGGGTGCCTCTGCCCGGCCCTCCGCCTCCGGTCTCTGGGCCCCGGGCTTTCCCGACAGCAAGAACCGTGCAGTCAAGACCTCGAGTCATTCTCTCCCCCCAAGTGCATCTCTGTGAGTCGGCTGCCACAAACACGTGGATTTATTCCCTGGTGCCCCGTTCTCTCCCACTGATCTGTGTGTCTGTCCTGTGCCAGTCCCCTGCAATATTAATCGCCACTGCCCTGCCGGAAGTTCTGGAGGACTTGGTGAAGCAGCAGAGAGGAAGCCCCCCACCCTGCCCCCAGCAATCAACTTAAACTGAGCCATAAAGCCAAGGTCTGTTTAGCGAGACAAGATATTTCCCCAGAGGGAGGCATTCTTAGGCCAGGGGTTCAGGCGTTCACCTCGCACACCACCGGGTGTGGCCTCAAAATACAAGACAAAGGTGACAAAGCCAAAGCCAAACCCAAGGAGCCAGGTGTGCACACGTATGCACACACCCAGAAATCCTCCCCAGCGGGAAGCAAGGCCTGCAGAGGCAGGGGTCTGCGACACTCCTTGGAGAGCGCCACAATCCAATCAGCGGAGCCCGGGGAGCCTCGAGCTCTCCACACGGGCATCACGCCCCCTCCGGATTCACGGCAGGGGCGCGTCATCCCTTCCCCTTCCTTTCATCTCTCTTTCCTCTCATATCCCCTCAACAAGTTTCATTTTGCCATCTTCTCCGGGGTCTCTTCTCTGAGACAGGGGGTGACCCCTGGGGACTCGCCACTTCCCCTGGGAGAGCCCCCACCCGAGAGCCAGGGTCCCCAGACAATACAGGGGAGCTCGGAGACCAGCACCCGCTCAGGACAGCCTGCTGGGCAGAGTGTAAGACCCCACGGGGCGGACCCAAAGCGTTCACCCCTCTGGCAGCTGGAGCCCTTGCACTTAACTCTTTCTCAAGACCGTTCAGCCTCCGAGGTCCCCGTGCAGCTTCGTATGAACCAGGGAACCGTTCTGGTCCACTCCGGCAGAAAGGACGGCGGGGAGGGAAACTCTGCTGACTGGAGCTCAGCCGGGTGGGTGCTGACTATGTAAGAAGTCAAGTCCCCTGACCCATAAGCAGGGGGTGTCCAACCACTGATTCATCTGTCAGCCCCAGGTGGTCGTTTCCAGAGGGGTCACACGGCCCGCTTGTTCCATTTATTCCAGTGTTTTATTCTCTGATATGCTAGTACGGATAGCATTTCATTGTTGGGTTGTTCATTCTAAGTGGACAG